ATAAATCTATATCTTGCAGAAATATTTTTATGGCCAACTTTAATATAATACCAAGAGATTTTTTAGGTATTTCTACCCAGTTGCTAAGTTGAGTGGCAGTACCAGAAATAAGTGTAAAATAACTTGAAATGACTGAGGAGTTAATATGTAATGAAAGTCTCAGTAGAAGATGAGAACACCAACAAAATACCTCTAACACACACTTTTCCTCCCAAATATCCTGCAGTCAAGTTTGTCTTTGCTAAATAAAATAAAACAGAACCTGAAGGCAGTCTAAAAATCTAATCATTGTTCACTTAACTATACTGATGGATGTCTCATCAACTAATAAGATAACTGTGCTGTGTTAGTCAGCTCCATTATAGCTGTGACTGAATTCCTGTGACAACAGTTGAGGGCTGGAAAGATTTATTTTGCTTGAAGTTTCAGAGATTTCACCATAGCCCTCTGCTCCCATGGTCCCAGGCCAGTGGTGAGGCACACGTTGAAGGTCAGAGTGTGTAGTGGAGGATGTCATTGAGCACCCGGCTCACAGCAAGTAGAGAAAGAGGAAGGGATCTAAGACCAGGTACACCCCTAGGGACCCAGCTGGGTCACATATCACATCCTTTGCATAACCTACCGAGACAGCACCACCAGCTGTAGATCAAGCATCCAACATATGTGCCTTGAAGGGACAATGTCTGTGTAAACCACAACAGTGAGTGTTTAAGCCCTTTCGGATAGTCTCCTTTTATTCAGTCATTGATTTCTCTTTTAATCCCTTCACTATACATGCCATCAAGTGTGACTATAGTTGGCAAAGTCTCTTGATTTACATACTCTTCAGAGTTGTGACAGAGTTGTGATGAAAATATAGATAGATGCTCTGAAAATTTTGTGTTACTGTGTCATGTCTATTTCTTAGTTTGTGAATATATAATATCCAGAAAGTGGTGAAGCCGATGGCATCAGGGGCAACTCATTGATATAGATATAAAGGTGAGTGAAATGATGTAAATACTTAACATTTTAGGGCAATACCATGTAGTGTGAGGCTTTCTATTTATTTGTGTGCTAACAGATGCTGATTGGTATCTCCATTATTGTGAAGGCATTTCTATGTCTGAGCTGCCTGTAGGCAAATCCTTTCTGGATCATGTTACCTTCTAGAAGTTTTTATCAGTCCTTGACTTTCCTTGGCATAGAGTTCTAGCACTTTAGTGGTGTTTATTTTATTTTATTTTTTTTGGAGGGGGTTCAAGCTAAAGATCAGAAAAGCAAAGCAGCCAACTATGATCCTGTCCTCAGTGTGGCTGGGGAGTGAATACAGACTGAGGCTGTGAGCTCCTGTCTTTTATTCCTCTCTAGTGCTGGTATTAAAGGCACACACCACCACAGCACAGCCTTTATGGCTAACTAGTGTGCTGCCACCACTACCTGGCCTCTGTGGCTAGTTTTGCATTCTGGTCTTCAGGAAAGCGTCATTAGATCATAAACAAAATATCACCACACTTGGGATAACTCAGAGACATATGATTAGAGTTGTCCTTGGGCATTGATGGTGATCTTGCTGGCCTGGCCATCTCAGAAGTGCTCTGAGGCCCTCACAATGTTCAATCCCTCTCCCACCTTCCCAATAGTGGTAGTTTTGGTTCATTTGTCTCTCTCTACATGGTGTTTAGATGCCTGTTTGACTCTCTCTCATCTTTTTATAAGGACATGCAGCATCTTGAATTATAGGATCAAATTTTATCTTGGCCACCTTCAAAGCATTTATTGTCAAAAATACCATCCTCACAGGCACTAGGAATTAAAACTGGTGGGGCAATTATCTTAACATGTCTTATAAGGGTAGGAGACTCAATTAGATAAACACATAGGAGACTGGAATTTCCTGGGGGCTGAATAGAAAAAAATTATTTCCCAGGCCATCCACAGAAATAGCCAGTTGGACTTCTGTTCCTTCAGTGGGATTCACATTTTCTTTTTTCTTTTTCTTTTACATATCGATCCCAGTTCCCTCTCACTTCCTCCCTCCCTTTTTCCTTCTCTCCCACCCTCCCATGCTCCCAACCACCATCCCTTCCCATCCCCCCACCCCAATTCCATATGTAGAGGAATGCCATCCAGTTGGGGTCATGTAGATCTGACAGGTCATGTGAAGTAGGGACTAGGGCTTCTCTCCTGTCTCTAGGTTAAGGCAGTTATCCTTCCATGGGGGATGTGTTCGCAAGGTCCTTTTGTGCACCGGGGATACATCCTGGTTCCACTGTCTGAGGTCCCTTAGACTGCCCAGGCCTTCTAGCTGAGACCCATATTCAGGGGTTCTGAGTCAGACCCATGCTGGATTTCCCAGCTATCAGTCTGTGGGTCTATTAGCTCCTCCTTGTTCAGGTCAGCTGTCTCTATGTGTTTCTGTAGCCTGATCTTGTTCTCCCTCTCTGCATCTGGATTCCGGTTCAGCTCAGTGTTTTGTTGTGGGTGCCTGCTTCTGTTTCTATCACCTACTAGATGAGGGCTCTATGATGGTGGATAAATTAGTCGTCGATCTCATTATCAGGAAAGGGCATTTATAGTAGCCTTTCTACTGTTGCTCAAATTGTTAGTTGGGATCAGTCTTCTAGGTCTCTGGACATTTCTCTAGATTCAGTTTTCTCTTCAAACCTATAATGGCTCCCTCTTTTATAGTCTCTCTCGTCTCTCTCTCCCCCTCTCTCTTTTCTCTCATCTATTCCTCCCCTGAGTCAATCTTCCTAGTCCTGCGTGCTTTCCTCTCCTCCCCTTTTCTTTCTCCTAGTTCCCTCTCCACTCACTGCCCCCCCCCCACACTCCCCATGTGCTCAGGAGATCTTGTCCCTTTCCCCTTCTGTGAGGGACCTTATATGAATCTCTTAGAATCTTCCTTGTATCCTAGTTTTTCTGGTGATGTGAATTATAGGCTGGTGATCCTTTGCTCTATGTCTAAAATCCATATATGAGTGAGTACATACCATGTTCCTCTTTTTGTGACTGTGTTACCTCATTCAGGATGGTTTTTTCAAGTTCCATCCACTTGCCTGTGAATTTCAAGATTCCATTGTTCCCCCCCCCCAGAGTAGTATTCCATTGTGTAAATGTGCCAAATTTTCTTTATCCTTTCTTCAGTTGAGGGGCATCTAAGTTGCTTCCAGGTTCTTGCTATTACAAATAATGCTGCTATGAACATAGTTGAACACATGTCTTTGTTGCATGGATGTGGATCATTTGGGTATATGCCTAAGAGGGGGATTGCCAGGTCCTGTGGTAAACTAATTCCCATTTTCCTGAGGAACTGCCATACTGATCTCCAAAATGGCTGTACAAGTTTGTATTCCCACCAGCAGTGGAGGAGTGTTCCCCTTTCTCACATCCTTTCCAGCATAAGTTTTCATTGGTGTTTCTAATTTTAGCCATTCTGGCAGGAGTAAGGTGGTGTCTCAAAGTTGTTTTGATTTGCATTTCCCTGATAGCTAAGGATGTTAAACACTTTCTTAAGTGTCTTTCAGCTTTTTTGATTTCCTCTATTGAGAGTTCTCTGTTCATTTCTGTATCCCATTTTTTAATAGGGTTATTTGGTGTTTTGTTGACTAGTTTCTTGAGTTCTTTGTATATTTTAGAGATCAGCCCTCTGTCAGATGTAGGATTGGTGAAGATCTTTTCCCAGTCTGTTGGCTGCCATTTGGTCTTGTGCACTGTGTCCTTTGCCTTATATGAAGCTTCTAAGTTTGAGGAGGTCCCATTTATTAATTGTTGATCTCAGTGTCTGTGCTACTAGAGTTATGTTCAGGAAGCAGTCTCCTGTACCAATCTGTTCAAGGGTACCTCTCACTTTCTCTTCTAAGAGGTTCAGTGTAGCTGGATTTATATTGAGGTCTTTGATCCATTTGGACTTGAGTTTTGTACATGGTGATAGACATGGTTCTATCTGAAGTCTCCTACACACCATCATCCCGTTGTGCCAGCACCATTTGTTGAAGATGCTTTCTTCATTCAACTGCATATTTTTAGATGTTTTGTCAAAAAATCAGGTGTTTGTAGGTGTGTGGGTTAATATTACTATTTTTTCATTTGATTCCATTTGTCTACCTGTCTATTTTTGTTCCAATACCAAGCTGTTTTCAGAACTATAGCTCTGTAGCAGAACTTGAAGTCGGGGATGGTGATTTCTCCTGAAGTTTCTTTATTATACAGGGTTGTTTTAGCTATCCTTTGGTCATCTTTAGTTCATGCCAGCCTAGTTCATAAGGGTTCATAAGGGTAGAGTTCAAAGACTCAAGTAAAATCTAGGCTTTCACTCTCACATATAATTGCACCAGAGAAGTAAGTTAATGTGTTATAGTTATCAAAGTTGCCACTTTGTACACTTTGAAATAAGAATAAAGCCAGTATTTTATCTCTGGGCTTTGGTCATAGGTTGTTGTGGGAAATCTTATGTAAATGATACGACTATTTTAATTTAATGTTTCTGGAAGATATATCAATATTTTTTATTGCTTTCCATAAATCTTTGGCAGCCTACAAAGACAGCCTATATAAATGTTTGTGCAACATCTGCCATTTCTGCAATATTGAATGTGAAACTGAGTTGCATTTCTACATCTCATAATCAGAAATACCTTCTAGTAGGACTTGATTAAACTTCTATAAACTAAACTATTTCGAAATGTTAATTGATATAGAAAACATAAAGCCCTTCAATAGATATTCCTATCACCTTTTGAAAACTAGGAAAACAATCATTTGCATTTGTTCTATATATCATTCCCATCTCCTGAAATTTGTTATATTCTTGTTCATTTGATTGTTTGGTAGTTAAATTGACATACAGAGAAATTTAGTGGTTAATCTCAATGAACTTATTTTAGAGAATCAGAAGTAGTTTTAAACATTCAATATAGTGGTAGCATTTTGCATGAAATCAGAGTGTGGTAAACTAGTGAACTACTTCTGAGGAACAGGTGGATGAAGTCTCTGTGACCCTTAATAAGAAACAACACAAGTTGTAAAAATATATTTTAATTTGAGGGAAGGACATTTAGTAAGGACTCAGGTACAGGGAGGCATGGGGAAATGGCCTTCTAGAAAAGGGCAGGATGAATGCAATCAATGTGTGATGCATGTTTGAAATATCAAGGTGAGGTACACACCATCAATTGGCAACATTAATATGACTTCAGAAAACAATGTAGAGGGCAGAGTCCTTGTTAGCACTGAAAAACAAGATACCACCAACTAAAGAAAATGTAACTAAAAATACATTTCAAAGGTATAAACAAATAGGCACTAAATAAAAGAAGCTATCTGGAAACATGATGTAACAAGAGCATTATGGCTGTAAATGTGATAAAGGACAGAAGACTGTCATTTACAAAGCAAATATGAAATTAGTTTTTATTTGAAGGAGACAAAGAGTAGAAAGAATAATCTATGTAGTTTTGTTCCATAATTTTGCTAGGTTGCATTTAACTTTGTTGATTTCTTTAATTTTCAAGATGTGAAAATTAGCTGCTTCAGTGGCAAAGTAAGTGGATTTTCAGAGAATGATTATCTATTTCCATCTTTTGATATGTCCACTTGAAGCAATATAATACCAATGAGTTGTGTATGATACCAATACATTCTGGGATCCAAAGTTACACTTTGTGTTCTTCTACATGTGGATTAGTCCTAGAGATCAGAAACTCCACAGGCAGGCTTATATTTCAAAATGTTTGGTGATTCTTGAGTTTAATTACGATAATCTGAAAATAAGATCAGAGGAAATGGATTAGGAGATGGTGAATGGACATTTATTACCTAGCTTAAAATCACCCCATCTATAAATCTTCCTAAGGAAAATTTTTCTTTATCTCAAAAAATCTTCATTTATTCTTTCAAGAGAAAACAATGAAATATTTAAAAGCTCCCATTTCTTAAATGATTGATTGAAATCTATAACACGCCCAGTTTAGGTTTCCTAAGAAACAACTACTATTTTACCTTCTTTAATGATCTTTCTTACAGAAGAAACCAAATTCCTTTTCAACTTGGAGTCGAGCAGGAAACTAGAAATTAATAATAAAAAAATGGCACAGAAGTAAGGCTTTTCCGTGTTAAGGCTCAACAAATAAACATTATAAAGCATAGTTCCCTTTCATAACTCTGGGAAGAAAACTCTGTAAGGCAACTGGCAGACAATTCTTTATCTTAAAAGGGAACAGTCACAGTAAAGCTCAGTATACCAAAATCTTAGGGTTTGATTTCTTCAGATGCACAACCTTGCTGGGTCATCTAGGCTGACCTCCTACTTCGCTTCAGTCCTCCTTCAGCTTCCCCAGTGCTGGGTTTACAGGCCAATGCATCATGTCATTGGCCTAAAAGTTTGCTTCAATTTTTAAGGATAAACAACTAAGCAATGGGAACTTACACTTTTCCAAAATTTCTCAAGTTTTAAAAAACAGATTTCTACCATTATTTTTTGTCTCAAAAAATGTATTTCTAAAAGCACTTTATATCTTAAGTATACTTAAAAGTACAAATGTATAGCTCAAAAAGTGTGTGTCTGTGAATATCTTTTATTTTTTTCCTTCAGAGTTTGAATAAGGATCTTTTTTAAAAAAATTATTATTATCCTGGAACTTGATTTGTAGACCAGGCTGGCCTTGAACCTACAGAAATCCATCTGTCTTTGCCTCCCAAGTGTTGGTATTGAAAGTGCACATCAGGACTGACTGATCACAAAATATTTTTGTAAACTCATGTGCTTCAGTGAAGTCTCCAATCGTGCACTTCAATGAGCAAAGAGCCACTAGTACATACTCTACAGTGAGTCATGAAATCCAGAAATGTAAGCACTTTGATTAATTTTTAAAGTGTGAATGACTTTTATGATAGAATATTACTCATCTGAAACAAAGGAGCTGAAAGAGCTACTATAACTTTGGATAATTAAAACAATTTCATTAGGAAGTTTACCAAGGACATTTACTCGTGTTTTACCTAGAAATCCAAAGGCAACATCACTCTTGATAACAGCACACATTTCCCACATCACATGAACAGGTAGGTGAAGTGATATGGCTTTCATAAAGAATTTGTAGTCAGGACATTAACTATAAGGTCCTGAAGTGTCTTGATTTTTTGGTTATGCTCTCATGGCTTATGGATCTTCTCATGTTCTTACCAATTTCTTGTCTTTGATGTTAAATGCTGCTTATTTGTACAATCAATATTTTTGGGCTATATATTTCCTATACATTGGCCGTAAGGACTGCACTTCTTGAATAAATTCTCATTCAGTGTATATTGTTAAAACTGATATACTCATAATTCCTCTAAAATTTATTTTTCATGGACACACTGAATCTAGCCATACTGGTATTTTCCACCTAAGGGTCCCATCTTTATTTTTTCTAAATAATAAATTTCCTTAAGCTGCTACTCCTGGATATTTTTGACACAGGTTTTTTCTATGTAGCCCTTGCTGTCTTGGAACTCTTTGTAGGCTGGCCTCAAACTCACAGAGATCCTCCTGCCTCTGCCACCCAGTGCTGGGATTAAAGATGTGTGCCACCCCTGCCCCAACATTACTCATGGATTTTAAACACTAATGCTTATCTAACTTTTCTTATTCATATTGGTTCAAAGAACAGACAAGATGAAAAATTTTTATGTTCCTCAGCAGAAAAAGTCTTCCTCTGTATTAAAAAAATTAAAATGAATACAACCTACCTTATTGTTAAAGAGACTACTGTGCAATATATTTTCATTGTGGGCAGTATTACCTATAAATATATAATAATTCATTTATTCATCAGTGAAAGTGATATGAAGCATGGGATATATAGAAAAATTATTAAATGGATAAAATGGCATATTTTTACGTGTACTCAGTGAACTGAACATTATATTCGTACAGACCAACTTGAATAGTATATTGAGGAGTTAGTTCTGTTCAGACATAATTTTTCAAACCCTAGTATTAACAACTTCTATTTCGTTAAACACTTTTACGTTTCTTTCACCATTTGCCAGAACTGGTCAGTTGCAAAGCACAGTTTTCTAGGCTCCCCACTGGCAGCTTATTCTGCTCCCCTAATGTTACCATGAGACACCCATTTCCAGTCCAGCTACACAGTGTAATCCTACTAGTTTTCCCCTCTCACATTTACTGGGTTATGCTATTTGTTCAATAGGTCTTTATCTGACTTATAATTTTTCTTTTTCCTCCCAATATTTGTCATAACATTCCTATTCTTAACATATTCATATGAATCACTTGGTTGAGTATTACACAAATTTAATTTCCCCCATCAATGACTTCCATTTATCAATCATCAGACTCTGGTTCCATAAGTCATTATCATTCTTTATAACAATTTCCCATGTACATTATTCACTTAAATTTTACATATGAGAATGCTGAGTCTGATTCATTCATAAGAAGACATGAAAGAGTCCATGCCCTAAAAAGAATACACAAAGATATGGTGGTAAAGGAATACTGCTGTCCAACACAGCTAACCAGCAGACCTCTAATGCTAATACAGTAAAAGGAAAAGGAAGACTCTAATCTAGCCATCCAAAAGAACAGGAAATAGCAAGCCCCTCTCAATAATAACTTCAAATGAAAAAAATGTTCTCAACTTTCTAACAAGTCACTAGCTCACTGATTGGATTTTAAAACAATATTTAATTGTCTGTTGTCTCCAGAAGTGCACTTACTTAGCAAAGGCATCGGAAAACTGAATGTGAAAGGATAGAAATCTACCACCAATCAAATGGAGGCCATAATAAGCAAGTATAGTAATTACTATGCTTGCTAAAGAAGACATCCCAGCAAAACTAGTCAGGGAGAGAAGGAGAGAGAAAGAGAGAGGGAGAGAGGGAGAGGGAGAGCCTCCATATTAACTAAGGGAACATTCACTAAGTAAATGCAGCACTGCATCTTGGTGTGTTATACAACACTAAAAGATCACATAGGTACCAGCACATTACTAGCAGGAGACTTTACTACTCTAATATTTATATAGATCTTTATATTGATTGTGTCACAAAGTAATCCTCATTAAATAAGTAAATAAACTGGGACATTTCCTTGTATTTATCAGACCACAATGGAATACAAATATAAACAAACAGCAAGAGAAACCTCAGAAATCACTCAAACACTTAGAGACTAAATAAATAACATGGTTTGGAATGAGTAGCAGGGCATTAAAGAGGTCAAGGGGGAAATCATTTTTTAATAGTCCAGACATAATTACAAAATCCAATAGTACACACTACCAGATCTGCTGGATTCAGCTAAGGCAGTCCTTAACGAAAGTTTGTAGCTATGAGCACTGGCAGTAAAAAGTAAGAGAAATCTTAAATAACCTAATGGTGTACCAGAAGACTCTGGAACAACAAGCCAAACCTAAACCCAGTGTGTGGCAAGAATAAAGAATGGAGCAAAAGTTGGCAAAAAAAGGGAGTAAAGGGATAGATAGTACACAGAGTAAATAAAGAGTTGGTTCTGTGAAAAGACAAAGAAGACTGACAAACATTTCCATAAAGAAAAGTCCAGGACTGAAAAGGTCACTGATAAATCCAGCCAAACTTTTCAGGAGGGTTTAAAGCCAATAATTCTCAAAATGCTCCAAGAAATACAAAGGAAAGGCAAAGTCTCACCCTCATTTTATGAGGCCTGTATTACCCTGATGCCAGAATGGAATACAACATGATAAAAGAGAACTTCAGACTAATATCCATGATGAATATATATGGAAAACTCTTAACAAAATTGAAGACCATGTTAAGAAGATCAAACACCATGACCAAGTGGATTGTACGTACAAATCACTTATGCAAATCATTAAGTATATTATTATTAAGTATAATATATATTAATATATGATATATAAATTGAGGACAGAAGTCACATGATCATCTCAGTAGATGCAGAAAAAGCGTTATACAAATTCATATGGTATCAGTCCTAGAGAAATTAGAAATAGGAAGAAAAACTCCAAATTAATAAAGACTATATAGCAAAGGTATAGTCAATATTGCACTAAATATGAACAATCTGAAAGCATTCATTCTAAAATATGGAAGATGATAAGAATAATCACTCTACTATTTTAAGACCCACTAGACAAGATAAAGACATAAAAAGATTAAAAGTAGAAAAGGGAAGTTAAATTATTACCATTTATCACATAATTCAATAATTAAGACCCTACAAACTCTACCAGAATATCCTGAGATCTAATAAACACATTGCACAATGTTGCAGGGTTCAAAACCAACTGACAGAATCCATTATTTTCCACATATATCCGTAATATCAAACCTAAGGAAGAAATTTGGAGAAAACATTTTACCCATAACATCTCAAAAACCAAACCAAAGCATAGGTAGTAATAAACAGAAGGAAGGAACTGAAAAGCTCTATATTGAAACTTTCCCCTCAGGAACCCAAGGAAAAACTGTATATGTTATCTTTCATATGTTGATACTGAGATAGGCTATGAAACAAACAAAGAAACAAACAAACAAACAAACGGGACCACGAGAGGGGGTAAAAGAGGTGTTGAGAAGGGGAGAGATCAATCGAACAAACATGCTATAAAAATGGAAAGGGGGCTACTGGAGATGGAGGAATATAAGTGGGGACCGTCAGGATAGGGGGAAAGAGGGGAGAAACGTCAGCAATGACAAAATCATGTTTGAAAATGCCATGATGGTATCTATCGCCCCATATGCTAAAGGATACAGACAGATGAAGAGCAAGAGCTTAAATTAGGTTCTAAAGGATACAATTAGCCAAATCACAGTGTCCTTTCTCTTCATTGTGATGGGACACCTGGTGCTGCTATAGAGGCACCACAGTTTTCTACTTGATGCCAGATGGTTTTGCCCATAAATGTGCAATCTATTCAAAGTTGTACACTGACACTAAACTACTAGGTTTATATCAATTATAAATATCTAATGCATACTTTGTTATAGTTTAAATCCTTAATTTAATACTTAACACTTACCACTTGGATGGTGCACAATGGTGAGTTTATCTACAAGACAAATAAACATTCGGTGAGGTTTGTTTGCTATTTATCCTAAGAGATCTTTTTATTGTCTTATGACTTTGTGTCTCTGAGGTGACCCAAATTTACAGCATATACTACAAATACTAATCCTTCCTCTGGATAATGTGTGAACCCAAGCCTCATTGTGTCTCTCTTCTCTGACTTGCCTGGAGGTGTTAAGGTTTGATTGTTGTTTGATGGCTACTGAAACCCTGCTTTCTTTAATAAGAGGTGCCATGGTTATGGTGTTTCTTCTCAGCAATAGAAATTCTAATTAAGATACCAGCTAGATTGAATTTAGAATACCTGAAGCTTTGAAATTGTTATACTCTAGCTATGTGGAGAAATGAACCTAAAAACTAGATTAAAGCACATTTTAGCTACCATTTTTTAGAGTACGTTCTGGACTTTAAGTAATGTGTTGGCAATCCTTTTGTTCAGTAGACTTCTCACATTCTCTGAGGCTCTCCATGAGCATTTTGGTATGCTACCATTTTAGTCTGGGGTCTGCATCATGGTGGAGAACATGGCCTACCATTGCTTTTGTTTACTACAAACTTCAGAACCCTCTGTTTTTCACATTTATGTTCTTTTCTGACAATCCTATGTAACCCCACTCAGTTAATTTAGCTCTGTTTATATTTTCTCTTCTTCCAGTTTCTCTTCTTCTCAATTATTATTCATTAAATATAGAAAATATTAAGTTTCTTAAAACTCACATGAGAAATAAATGTACTCTTTTAAATTTTATGATCATAAATTTCCCTCTAACTGCCTGTTAACTGCATTTTGCTTCATATTATGAGTTTTGGTATCCTGTTCACCATAGCTTTCAATGACTCTTCTTTTGATACAAGGATTATTTTTGAAACATTCAATTTGATTCTTAAATATTTTGGAATAAATCTGCAACACTCAGGGAACATTCTCTTAAGTTTTGATCTTCTGGAATGTACTGAAGCTTTTCGATGACTTAGCATGTGCTCCATCTTGATAGCCAACCCAGAACATCTTACACAACCATGTGAGCTTAGTGTTTTTATGCCTTACTCACTAAATGTCAGATGGGCTGAATTAGGTCTCTGTATCTTTACAGACTTCTGCAAATTGTTCAGTTAACTACTAAGAAAAATGTGAGGACATTCCCTGAGTATTGCCAAATTTTGCTTCATTGGCTGTGATAAAACTTATAAGCATACATGTAACATAGAAGACAGAAATATGCTGGCTGTTATGTCATTCTGCTGAACCTTTACCCTATCTAATGTATCCTTTTATCTCCTGCCATGGATTTTGTCTTCAGATTATCTTTTTTTTTGTTTATTTTATTTGTTTGTTTGTTTTTGTTATATTCCCTTCATTTAAAATATATGTTTTAGACTGCCTAAATTAAGGTATCTTTTTTTTTGTGCAGCATAAAAACATATTATTTTAAAATTAAGTGTGTAACCAATTTGCATTAAACACAATTATTGACTTTACTCAATTTACTATTCTGCTATTTTTGTTTTCTTGTAGTTTTGCTTATCTATTTTGTATATGTACCAATTTTGCATTTTTGTGATTTATTATTCATAATTAAATATTTTTAATTCTCTAATTAATTTCCTCTATCGATTTCCTAGGTTTACTTTTTTGTTATTTTATGTGTGTTTGCCAGCATGTGTAATAAATGCATGCAGTTCTCATATAGCCAGAAGAGGGAGACAGAACGCCTAGTAGAGAGTTGTGAGCCATCATGAGGGTACTGGGAAGCCGTGTGGGTGGGTGGCTTGCAGGTCTTCTGAAAGAGTAGCAAGTGCTCCTTATTATTGAGCCATATCTCCCTTATTTTTATTTTTAAGTTAGTAAAATATGCAAGCTCAATTTCTCAAACTAATTTGAGATAATAGATTTCTGCTTTATACTTCTCTTCATACTTCCCATCTTACCCTCTTCCTCTTGTTTTTAATTGAGTCTTTACATGCTACATGTTGAACTTTATCATGGATGTAATTTTACCTGATTCTAGTTAACTGCAGCCTCTGTTCTTTGTGGTACTGTTTCTACATTACATGCTCTAACCTATAACACATGTAAGTTTTGCTTTAAATAATTTACCAAAACACAGAAAACAGTCTATAGATAACTCATTTATACGATTTGAAGTGTTTTTGTCCCCTCAATGTGGATTTGGATTTATTTCTGTTACTATTTCTTTCTACCTATATGAAAGTCTTCAATGTTGGTTACCTTGTAATTTTTCTATAAATCCGTTAGTTAGTTTATCTAAAAACACCATTATTTCAGCAAAAGTTCCAAGACTATTTTCTCTGGAAGTGCTCTTTTCTTTTCAATGCAGCTCTTTGAAGGTATTACTACACAGTCTTCCAATTCTCCAGTGATTCTGACAAGATATTAGTGAATATCCTCAAGCCTTCCCTATCTATGTCATTCATCTTTTTTTCTAATATTAGACAAATTTTGTCAATCCACCCTCATGTTCAGTAATATGTGATATGCTGATTTTATCTATAAAAGTTTTCTTATATTTTAGTGTTGCTTTCAATAATTTCAACTTGGTTATTCCAATTAGTTTCTAATGTTCTCTTATTTTATATTATTTATCCTCCTAAAGCTGTCTTTTACATGAATTCAATATTCTTATAAGAGACACTTTAATGTTTAATGTTCTCTGCTACAATGGTCAACATGGGACTATCCGTTTATTACTACTGGTGGCTTTTGTTTTCTTCACTATGGATTCCTGTTCATTTTCATGTAATTTTTAATCACTCTTTTGGTTAGAATGTTGAGTATTACATCTCTTGTATACTGTGGATTCTGTGTAGGATCTTCTTTTGGTAGGTAGTTCAGCTTCTGATATGAATGTTCTAGTTTTGATTGTTGTTTTTCAGAAACCCCAAGGTATTTCATAAGGCCTGAGGTACAAATATGTTTCTCCCATGGTTTTAGAATTGACAAGACATATTGTGAGTAGAGATTACTCTGAGTTAGTGTCCTAATACAGGAGGCATTAGAAGTTTCAGAAAGCGTTAAGATGGGTCCAGTCTGGCAGGTCAGGAGCAAAGAACGGCCTTTGCCTAGCTCACTCAACCTTTCTCTCTGTCTTCTTTATTATATTCTTTTTCTTCTTCTTCTCCTCCTCCTCATTATTTATAATTATTATTATTTTGTTTTCAGTGCCCTGGAGTTGCTAGCTGTGCTCCTAGCACACTCACTCAGCTCATCTCTCAGCCACAGACAGATGCAAGTTCCTCCTATGTGACTCTGAGGCCACTCTTCTTCAGTTCAGTTCACACCCCTCCCCCACAATGTCAGTTGCATCAGCTGAGCTCTCCATGTTGTCAATCCCAGGACCGATGTGCCTGCTCTCTCACAGTAAATGTTTCTCTGGCAGACAGGTGGGCAGTGGTTAGATTCCCCGCATGAGCCTTGCCTGCCTAACAATAGCATCTTCACCTGCTTACTATCCACTTCTCAAGGTCACTTGCCTGCCTTTGATCACTATTAGTGTTTTATAAGGTGGGATTGCATGCTCCCTGTTGTTTGTTCCACTGTGATAGAAAAGCGAGCTGATTCACTGCTCAAACACTGGTGTTGATTTCTGAATTCAAATAAAAATGTGCATAATATTCTAATCTGTGTGTTTTTTTCAATTTCCTATTTTTGTATTTATAGATTATGGACAAAATCTGTCTACTATGACCACTGTAAGAAGCAGTAGTATTTAATATGTGCTCTTTAGATATGATAGATACTATTTATGTAATATTTCAGTAGGATTATTTATAGAATTTGTAATCTTATTAGTTTTTAAAATGGTATTTTTCCACATAATAATGTAAGTTTTTAGATCTCAGTTATGTATAAATTAATCTCTTCCTTATGTATAAATGAATCCCTTTCTTATGATAATTATTTTACAAACTATATAATTTAGAACACATTTATAGAAAGGAAGCTTAAAGTAGACGGCAACACAATAGCAGGAGAATAAATTTCAGAAAGTGAATTTCCACTTGATGAGCAAGCTAAAGGCTATGTAATATTTACATAGAGTGGGTAGAGAGGGTTTTGTTAAGCGCTAATTTTCTGTGGGAGAAGAGAGACTTGGGGAAAGAGTGGCCATATAACTGTAGTGCAATTTACTTTCAATTCTGGAATGTATTATTCATCTTTGGAGAAGATTTGCCATCTTAATGGCATTGGTCTTTGACCCCAGTTGTTTCCTCAGGGCAACTGTTAACTATCACAAGGGAAACCTGCATTGTCAGGCAACATGTGGTTATGATGAAAGGCCAACCTCAGCAAGACAATTTGAAACAATCCACATGTGGACAGTTGTGAGACTTGGCTGTACTAGGAATGACCTACCTGTTTGATGCCCACACATAATGGTCAATGAAAATACACTGGGAAAAGAATGGTATTATTTGTTAGTTACCTAGGAGTCAAATGGAAGTAGTGAGCCTTAGTTGGTCAATGTGAGTCAGTAAAGGACTCTTGAAGGGATGTGTGAATAATCCCACTTTGCAGAGAATGAACTGGAGAGATTGAGTCTCCAGCCAGAGAGTGGGAAGCAAGGAAATGTATGGATTTGAACTGAAGTCTGTTTGGATCTGTAGTTAACTACATTTTCTCCCCAGCCACACTGTCATTTTTGAGTAGCAGGCAACTTTTACTCACCATAGGCATTTTCATCTTCTGGCCTTTTTCCAACAATGCTGTCTCTAAGCTGGCGTATTTTTTCCTTAAAGTACAGAACACAGATTTTAAGATTTAAAATCTTTAATGGGACAAAATGAAAGCTTTTCTTAGTGTAACCAGTGCCCAAACCACTACTTAGTAGTAGGTTGCTACTTAAGATGCCTAAAAGCATCTTTGGTACCTCATACATAATCTTATTCTTCATGAAGGAGATGTACAATGGTGTAGCATCCTCTTTCACAGAGATTGAAACTAAGGTGCAGGGAGGATAAGCAATTCATTTAATCACAGCTGTATGCAGGAATTGGAGGCTGAGTTTAGCTGCATGCCTACACCTGTGTGATTCAATTGACTGAAGAGCTAAGCTAGAATGCTGTAGCTGAATGCCTCCTGGGCCCATCTACAGCCTCCGTGTGGTACAGCCTTTCCTGGTACTCTATTATTAACAAAATTAAGGGCCCAGGGGAAAATACTATGAAACTAGATTCTCAGAATATGTGTGATCTTTGTTTTCCAAATATTCTGCTCAGCACAACTGCTATCATTTTAGTAGAAACAAAAAGCACACTAGCATGCCATACATTTCTTGAGAAGAAAACCTAAGAGAGTTCCTCGCCCCCCTCAGGAAGTCTTCTTTCCTGGGGTTAATTCCATGGTTTTGCAGATGATCCCCTCTGAGTGGAGTTGGGTGCCTTTGGCAAGGTCTTCAGCTTTGTCACACGTCATCTGCAGGGCTGGGTGTCTGCATGGCTGTGACTCTTCCCTGTTCTTCATATTCTTTGGATACATATGTGAAAACGAGGCATTTTCCCCAGAAAAATCCTCCACCAGCCATACCTTGTCACAATAACCACTGATAAAAATTCATTTCCAGAATGCAAATGAATATGTTTGTAGCCAGAGGGGGGATATGGAAAAGAATATGAAATATGGGGGAGTGTGTGCACATGTATGGATGTCTTAAATATTTCCTCATGAATATAAACATACAAGCAAACAGAAACAACTGAGTGTTTCAGGAAATGATTAGGGAAGTAATTTCTAAGAAGCTGGATTACACAAAACTGAATTGAAATCTTTGTTTTTGAAGGGATTGATAAGGGTAAATATATGTAGTTTCTGGGAACAAAATGAGTTGCATGGGCTTGTAATTGAACACATTTTACTACATTTTAGGGTTAGAGTGACTGTGACAGTTAGGATATTGGTAAGAATAGAGAAACAATGTTGTCATTCTTGTCATTGTGTTCCTGACAGAATACTGGTAAGAATAGAGAAATAATGTTGTCATTCTGTTCCTGAGCAATGCACAGGTACAGAACTGCACCTTCCACTCTCTTTAGCATTAGTTTGGAAAAATAATTGCCTTTGATTAGTATTGTGAAACCTGGACCATTTTCAGCCACTGATTGGCAACCAAACCTGCCCTTCTGGGTAGGTGGTTTCTGACAAGCTATGATCTCAAATGTGTTTGGAAAGTCCTCGCCTACACTGCTTTGGCCAATATGCCATATTGTTTGAAATCTCATCATAGTGACTCATTTTTCTATTGTTAAAAACTACTTGTTTTTTTTTTTTTAATAAAAATCATCCCTTGGTAGAGGTAGAATATTCAGCTAATATGAGCTTCCTGTACTTTGTCCTAACTTGGCTTATTAAACGTGTTTAATCAAGCAGCTACATTACAACTACGGGTTCTGAGGTAAGAAGGCTTCCTGCCATGGAAAGAGTAGAACATTAAAACATTTGGGGAGTGGGAAAACCTATGAGATAAGTAGACTATGCAGCAGGTATCTCTTACTGAGAGCAGTTAAGGTGTCATAGGTGACCTATTTTATAAGGAACAAGTTATTAAAATTAACCATACTTAAGACTAAATGCTTGATGTGACATCAGTTAATTTTTGTCTGTTTAAGTCTGGTCTGTTATACGTTTTAGCGTGCTGAGAACCTGTTGTTGTGAAGGTGCTTAATCTTAATTTTAACAATGAGATAAAACAAATGTTCTCTCTACCCAAGATAGGATTTGTAAACAGCTTTGATGCATGGGTTCCAAGACTGAGTTAACATAAATGAACTTAGCAGTGAAAATTTGGATATTATTTTCAAGGATTTAGTTGATTGTTGCAAACATCTTTTTAGTGGCTAGTTAAAAAGAAAAGATTAGTTGTCCATATGTCTTGTGAGGACTAAGCATTTAAAGAGTGTAGGGAGATCCATAAGTGAAAGAATGTTCCAGAAGATCATATTACCTGTTGAATCATTTCCAGACTACTCTTTCCCAACTGCCAACGTTTAAATTTCTCTAGAGCTTCATCCATAGACATTTTCCCATTCTTGACTTTTTCCTGCAGGAGGATCAGTTCTTCCTGCCCAAGGATCAGTTCTTCCTGCCCAGTGGTCACATAACCCTTTGCACTAGAGAAGGTTGGACCCTCCGTTCGAGCTTTGTCTGTAACAGAAGAAGATGGTGTTTTAATAGGAAATTAACAATTGAAAGACTGAGGTAAAACCATTCTACATAATAACTCATCAGGGTTTTCTCTTACATATATTCACAGTTGAAGAAAAAGCTAGCATAAATGTTTTGTTTCACTCTTTAAGAGAAGTTGTCATTGTGTAACCCAGGTTGACCACATACTTCAGATTCTCCTACCTCAGCCTCCAAAGTATTGATATCTCAGGCCTGTGACACTATCTCTAGACAGCAGCAAAATATTTTAACATATTGTATTTCCTTTTATGGATGGTAGGACCTAGCACCTGCCTTGTAGGTAAAAATAATCATTTTATTGTTGTAAAACATAAGGGCCAATGATGTGCTAGTTGTAGAAAATACAATCTCCCCATTTTTTTTTTTGTGGGAAGTAAAATGAGAGAATGTGGATAGGGAATCAATAGTGCCTAAATAGAGGAGCACAGGGTCTACCTCCTCTTCCCAAAGGGAACAAGAGTCAAAGGTGGTAGCTGTCCTTTGAGGTAAGAGACTATCAGGGAGCTATGAAATTCATCCGGGCAGAACCTGAAAGCTTTGAAAACCTGAGTTGCAGAATGAAATAAGAGCAAAAGGAGCCAGGACCTACAACCCTCACTGCTTAGTGGGGAAGGGAGACTCAGAGGAAAACCGGGCTGGAAGAGTCTCAGCAAATCTCATTAGTACAGACACTGCTAGTCTCAGCTCCTGAAGACTGGCTATTATTATCAAGAAGGTCATTTAGGGAAGTCATATAGGGCTTTCACAGTGGTTTATCATTGGAGGAAGAACTCCTATATCCCCAGTAACCCCAAGAGCCCACACTGCTGTGGCAAGATGTCATCATGTGAAGGCAGCTATTGTCTGAATTATATTGACCTCTAGGGGACAAAGACCTGTGCATATCCCAATATCTGGTACCTCAAAGATACCCTACCACACTAGCAAAGGGACTGTTGCCTCATAGACCCAACCTGACCTAGCAGGATACAGATGATTCTGGACCTTGCACTTTAAAAGACAAATTATATGACAATAACTATAAAGTGTGTATGTGTGTGTGTGGGGAGGAGGCCAAAAAACAAACAATGATCTAAAAGACCCATGTAAATGAAAATTGCAAAATTTCCAACATAAATTACAGATAAAACATTACAGCATGAAAAGTCCACCCTTGTTCATTGACTAGAAGAAAGAATGATATAAAATATCCATATAACTCAGAACTGTCTTGAGGTTCAAATAGAGTCATCATCAAAATATGAGGACATCTTTCACAGAACTAAAAGAAAATACAAAAATTCATATGAAAGCAAACCACAAAGTACAAATGAAACTGGAGCCTATCATGTTAAATAAAGTAGGATACAGCATGGAGAAAAACTGCATGTCCCCTCCTGATGGGAGATGTCACTCTGTATTTGTTTCTCTTATTGATTAATGAAAAAGCCCTGTTGACCAATAGGAAAGCAAGATAGACAGGACTAGGAGACAAGGAGGATTCTGGGAGAGGTAATAGAGTAGAGTCAAGATGTAGAGACTTGAGAGAAGGTCCGGACCCTCTCTCTGGTAAGATAAGACCACACAGAAACACTCAGATTAATATAAATGGGTTAATATTTAAGACAGAGATAGCCAAAAAGGAATGCTAGTAACAGGCCAACAGTTTTATATCTAATACAGTATCTCTCTGTGTTATTTGAGGCTGACACAGCTGTGGGACCAGGCTGGTGGGAATACTGCTGGTAATACCCTCCCATCTGAGATTGCTATAAAAATCAGTTGAAAGATATAATTCACAGTAAAACTTGCTGGGAAGTAGAAGAAAGGAGGGGGCACGTGGAGGTTGATGAATGGGCACAAAGCTAGAGAAAGTAACAAATTCTAATGTTCTACAGAACAGAGGGGGGATGGATATAGTATACAATAACCTACTGTGTACTTTATGAGAGGAGGCTAAAGCTTGAACACACAAAGCAATAATAATGAAACAGAAACATTAATTCCCCTGATTTTTATCAGTATGTAATGTATATGCACAATGAGCTATCACACTGTTCCAAAATGACTAGGGAGAAATAACTATTTGCTTTCTTGATCATAACACAGTATATACATATATCAGTTCTCATACTGTCTCCCACAAATTTGTGAAGGTGACAAAAACAGTAAATTATAATAAAGAGATTATATGGACAAATGACAGTGTAAAACCTGCCACCTAGTATTAATGTCATTAATATTAAACACAGGTTGAAGAAACACTATCTCTAATTTTGAGAAAAGTATCTTAGTTAAAAAAAAAATCTAAGAGTCACAAAAGACTTAGGGTCATTTGAAACTTTATCTTTGGAAGTAAATATGTACTCTCTTTGTAATGAAAAGCTGTCTTTCCCAAAAGATCATTATTTTGAGGTTACCGTGTGTGTGTGTTTTTTTTTTTTTTTTTTTTTTTTGTGTAGCACAGATTAGAGAACCCAATGTCCTAGCATGAGACCTGGAGGTTAAAGCGGGGAGCCTGAAGGCAGGACACAGGAAATTCATTTACCCCCGTGTCTTTGGGGGGATGTATGGACCTTGCAGACCACCGCAATCCCTGTTATCAAGTGATAGCACATTTGTGCCACCTGCCTGGCCTTGGGACTCATCTGAGTTCTCAACTTCTTGGTCACTGTAATGTCTCAGGAGAAGCACTTTCTTAATAAGCTGTCACTTCTGACTATGCCCATTGTATAAGGACAGAAAACCACCTAGTTCAGTTAGTGTTTGGTTTCCTAGCCCTGGGAGGAAGACCCACTAATCTTTGGGAATCCTTCTTAAAAGGAAGAAACTGGACCATCGTTCAGTCATAGTATCAAAGAATTGGGAGATTTGGGAGCGGTGCTCTTGTCTAGTAGTGTGGTCACTGTGAGATTGAGTTGAAGATGGTTTTTCTGGAAGAAAGACATTTTAAGTTTTAGGCATTACTTTTAACTACCCTGAGGGTGCCCAAGCTTAGACTGCGTGGAATGACCTCTAATGTCCATTTCAGTTTTGAAAGAGCCTCTCACAGTGAGTCCAGCATGAGGAACACTGGAAGAGTCTGCCGGATGGTTTCCTTGAATTAAATCGTCTCCACAGCCAGTCATTCTGCTTTCCTGGAGGGACTTCCTTCACTTTTCAGAAGTTCATTCCCCCAGAACTAACAAGATGTCAATAGATTCTACACTCTGAATCTTCCTGCAGGGATGATAGAACACAGAATCCCAGGAGAAATGGAGAGTGCAAGCCAGCCAGAGGGCTAACTGGCTGAGCAGGGAGAAGCACAAAGAGCTGTTGAGATCTTGCTTTTTCTACCACTTGCTATTTATAGGCTTCCACACAAATTTGACTCCCAAGATGCAGGTTCCTATGGCATCTATGTGCCCTCTTGCCGGAGCAGAAGGGCAGCATCATTATTGGAAGCTATACCAGTTAGGCATCATCGCGTTTCTGCTGTCCCTTTGCCTGAGCCAGATCCATTTTTATCTCAAGTAACCCATGCAGCTACATTTTCTGTGTTCACAGAAGGTATCTCCAGTAAACTATTCTCAGGAAAGTGCCAATTGCAATTTTTCTCCACATACAGGCTTCACTGAATTAAAATACTGCATCTGGGGTGTTGAGATAGTTCATGAGGTAAAGGTACTTAGCTCCAAGCCTAGAGAAATGAACCTGACCCTTGAGACCTGTGTAAGGTAGGACAGAAGGACTGCACAAAGTTGTTCTCTGACCACACACATGCTGTGAACCCCCCCAACACATACAGATTAATACAGAACTGAATCCTTTTAATAATATACCTTTCAATTGCTCCATCTAATTTCTTTTAAGTCGTAAGTAGGATATCAGTGCAGTAGGAAATATGTTCTGGTCCTTAATAATTCCACAAATACAACAGAAAGGCCCTGCCTCCCCCACAAAGTCTCCAATTTCAAATCCTAAAAGTGAGCTGCTTGTGGACAAGCTAATTTTCCACAAACCAGATTTTCCTCCTCATGTGAAATATAATAAAGCACCTGCCTTGATCAATTATTATTAGGCATGACAAGCTCCAAAGAAAAATGATCTGGAACTTTTGCTACCTTCTCATTCATGGCAGGCCCATTATTCTAAATGTGGGATCTGTAAATTTTAGTAATGTTGATAGGTTCCTTTATTGCATCAAGGCTACCATTTAATGGAGATTGTAATGGTAGTATTTCTTCCATCCAAATTTTATATTTCTGCTTACTATTAGAAGATTTAGTATGATCTTTACATCATTTTCATCAAGATGCTTTTGACATACTGTTGGCTGCATGTTTGAAACCCTTACTGTAAAAGCCTCAATGGTATAGTTCCTTTTTGTGGTTTTTGGTTTTTTGAGATAGTTTCTCTGTGTATCAGTTCTGGCTGTCCTGGAACTAGCTCTGTAGACCAGGCTGGCCTTGAACTCACAGAGATCCACCTGTCTCTGCCTCCCAAGTGCTGGGATTAAAGGTGTGAACCACCACTGCACAGCTGGTTTAGTTCCTTTTAATTTTTTCTAGTCTCTTTCCATTTGATTTGAATACTGTTCATAGAAGCAACAAGTAACCTATTATAGGAATATTTGAATGGGTAGAGCAGGTCAGAAAGTATTGCACTGAATTTCAGTTAGTGAGTTATTAGCAAGTTTTTTACTGTAATGTTGGAAAGAAACAATTTACGAGGCCTTGCTATTGGGTAACAAGATTAATGTAAAGTATTTATTTGATTACTATTATGCAACTACAAAGAATGTACTAAAAATGATGACAGCTCCATTCAAGGGCTTATTCTATAGTGACACAGACATGATTAAAACACATACACAGAAGAGAAATAAGCATCAAAGGAAAGATTAGTACATATTCAAAGATGATTATTGGTAAGAGAGTATTTTCTTACAATCAACAACTTTCTGTAATGATACTATATAGTAAGAAAAATATTTCTCT